TGTTTTACAACTCGGAAGTTCGCATGCAAGGTAGAGGTGAAGTAAGGAACTGCTTATGAGGTTTTCTTTCCATTCCAACAACTAAGAAATAGTGAGAAGAGTTGGGACCTGGGATGCATATTTTTAAGGCCTTGCAATTCCTTGTTTTCATTGCCAAAATACATGTAATTTATTAAACATTTCTCTTTTTCATTTTTTTGGTTGTGATTTGTGTCAGAGTGCAAACTTATAAAGGTCCAATGGATTCCTGTCAAGTCAAAATGGAGTCATAGCAGATCCTGCATTAGTCTCAGTCTCACGGGAAGAGTTTGCCCTTTTCTCAGCCTTGTATTTGCACCACTAAAGAGGCTTTGCCTTTGGCTGCCAAGTGCAGCAAGCACTCTCTGGACTACGTAGGCAGTACTCTCTAAAGATTACCACGCAAAATTAGTTTTTCACTCAACTATACATACACATTTTGTTCTATAGTGTTAGTTTTGATAACCACATTGTAACAGACTTTTTTCACTCATTTCTTCCCTTAAATTGAATATCTGTACTTGTACGTGTTTTCCTTTCCTTAGTAAGATTGTGCTAATCATCACTCATTGTGTGTTACCTTCTATTTCATCTGCCTTAATATGGAACTATTTTCTACTTACTCCTTTTACTCTTTCCTCCTTTCTTTCCTTTTTGGTAACCATCTAAGAATGACTCCATCTGTGTATAAAATGTCATTAGCTTAATAATGATTATTTTTATCCTATATTTGTCCTTTTGTGGCAGACTTACTTCTGTCAGCATAATGTCCTCTAGGTTCATCTATATTTTAAAAATAGTGTTTTTGGAATTCTTTAGTACTTATCACCTCAAAGTTCATGGCTGTCAAGTAGGGACCAATTCATAATCAGCTCAACTCAATTCATTACTATTAAGTATGAAGTGACTCATAGCTGACTCTCCGGTAGGTTTTAGAGGCTGTAAATCGCATGGGAAGAGATTTCCTATCTTTTTCTCACAGAGCTCCTTATAGATTTGAGCAGTGTGCCTTTGGGTTAGCAGCTCAGTGTTTCTTTTTCCATCTGTCCACTGATGGACATTTGGGTTGTTGTTTTTGTCTCTTTTTATTGTCAAGAATGCTTCAACGAAATGGGTGTTTGTGTTTGATTGTGTTGCAGCTATTTTTTTAATTAAAGATACATATCTAGTAGTGGGATTGCTGGATAAAATGATAGTTCTATACCACCTTTCTACAGAAGCACTGAAGTGCTGTCTGTGATGGGTGCACCATTTTCCATTCTCAATAGTAGTGTAAGAGAGTTATAATCTCTACACACCCTTGCCCTTGCAGCATTTGTTGTTTTCTATCTTATTGAACGTTGCTATTGTTCCTGGGTGAGGTGACATTTCATTGTTGTTTTGGCTTTGCATCTCTCTAATAGCTTATGGAGGCCTCTCTGGTGGCCTCGTTGGTAGGGGATTGCATTGCTAACCCACAGGTGAGTGGTTTAAATATATCAGAGGCTCCGAGGAAGAGATATGGGCAGTTACTCTCATGTGATTTACTACCTTTGACTACTGACTGGAGGGTCAGCCATGACTCAATTCCAGCTACGTGCTTGAGTTTTTAAAAATAGCCAGTGGCAGGGAACTCTTACAGCTTAGAGTATAGGAAATGACCAGGAGGAAAGAAAAGACCAAAATGAATGTCAGAAGATACTGTGAAGCTTGCACTGAAATGAAAAGAAGG